AGTGTGTGTATGTATGTGTTTGTGCATCACGTTTGTGTGATTGGTGACATAAAAAGTCGATTTGTTGGTTGAACAGATAGATTCCGATGAGCACCTCGTGAGAGGGAGGGGAGGATTATTTTTGCAGCAAAAAAAGGTGATGATGGGAGTGGGTTTGATGAAACAATAAAAGTGAGATCCATCACAAGAATTCCGTGATTTGCTTGGTCCACAACTGGCAGCAAATTACACCCGAGCTTTGGTTTGAGGTTCTGAAAACGAACGGAGGAATTTACACCCGATTTATTTCATGAAGAGAATGTAACTACTTGAAGCCATTCAAAGTAGTTTAACGTTTACAACGAAAATTTGAATTGCCATGCCATGCGAATGTGCATTTACAGTCTGTTGGTATGGTAAATCAAGTATTCATTGAGCCTTCCTTAAACCGTTCTACCAGTAAATATGAGATGAGTCAACCCTGAACCTTCTTTCGATTCCTCACCTAAAATGGTCTTACCACGTACAACTAATGTTTCTTAAAGTTAAAAAACTGACCTTTTACATTTCACGCCTTGGACTTCGGACGGTGCCATTGTAAGTCATTTCTAAATTGATTTTCTCGTGCTCTTTATGCCATTGGATCTACTGCACCTCTGTTATCTCCTCTGGTCTATTGTATAAGGATTTCAAGTTGATCAGACGCTCTCTGAAAATTATTTCTAGATATAAAGCTGTCCCCTATGTGGCGCTGGTAGACTCAATTGTCGACCAACACAATAACGGTGTGACCGTCTGTGTGACTCAATCTTGTCCGAAGCATCATATCCTTAACAAACAATACTCTCTCGCTTCATTTCTTCTTCCGTCGTCCACCATAAATTTAGACCTTTATACACTCGCGGCAGAGCTTTTCACAATTCCGTCGTACCTTTCTCGTTTATTGGTCTCTAGGGGACGAATATCAAACGGACTGGTATACATTCTCATGTTAATTTTCATGCTGCAATTTTCTACATTTGCTACGAATACTCGCTCCTCCTCATTATTGCCTATTTACAATTTGTCACATCTTTAAATCCATTTTTTAGTAACATTTATGCCAAAGCAAAAGTGATAACACTTTTTTCACTGTCCACAATGGATGAATGAAGCGCATTCTCTTGACTTGACTGTGGTCAAACGAAGTGGTGTGAATTTGTGGGCTGATGTAAAGTTGAGTACATTCTCGTCAAACCTCGTGGGCACTTTGGAAATGCATAATCAAAATGTATCATCCGCTGGGATCCGTGATAGCTTCACGAGAACCGGTTCCTTCAGGGAGTATTTATTTCGATTAGATAGGATGGAATTCGTGTCCTCGAATCAGGGGTTCTAAATTCGTTGTTCGAGATCAACACATCTTTACTCACCTGACTCACCAGTTGAGGTGAGTCGGAAGGTCAACATAATTTCGTTCTATAGTTCCGTTGGTCTTTTCAGCCTGCAGCGTTGCCAAATCAAACATGGTTGCACATAGAACGACAAATTTCTGTGTATTCAACGGAAAACTTGGTGTGACGTAAAATGCCGTCTGGCTGTTTGTGCTTCATTTGGTACATTGTCTCATCCGATACACTGCTACTTTTTCATATCTTGTTCAAATACTAGTCTGCGTGTGTGTTTGCAAACGAATGCCTGTCCCTAATGTGCGGGACTATCGTAGCCTCCACTGATGAGCCGTTCATGTGACTCATACATACATGTGATGCTGTCCCAGTTGTCGGACGAAGGATGAGCGATAGATGACGGATGGATTGACCGATTTCGGGCCATTCACATTCTCTAGGATGACGGGTTGAGGACTGACTGACTGATGTGGAGATTGCGACAGTATAAAGTCAGCTGGACTGCAGTTTATGTTCCACCGTTTTTTTCTCACTCAATGTTTCAAGCTTGCACACCATAAAGACATAAAATCGCGCATGTATCATTTGGGGGCGATGTGTGTGTGTGTGTGTGTGTGTGTGTGTGCGTGGTAATGTTCCTGTAGTGGTGGGTTTGAGCGATTGAGAGAATAGTAGTCTATTTCCTATTGATCGGTTTGGTCCCCACTCAAGTTAACTAGGCCCAAGCGATACCAGTATACCTTGCCAATTTTTCTGCAATTGCTTCATGAGACAGCTGGAGGATTTTATGCGATTACGTGATGCATTTTGTTGTGCACGCGAAGTGCTATCGTAACCTGGTTAGGTCACATCAGTAGTTTCAGTTCAGTTTAAACAGCCATCAGTTGTACGACCGTAGCAACCCAACTGGGGCCTCACATGCAGTATGCAACCATAAAATCCACTTGACTCACTCACTGATCGATGATTGAGTAGGGAAATGGGGAAGCATTAACGCGGGATTTGAAAATGCAGAGAGCAGTGGTTTGTTTGCGATATAGACTGCATGAGATTGATGATTGGTGGCCTCGGAAAAAGTGATAAGCGATTCCATTCAACAATTTACTGCGACCTGAAAACGGCGCATGCGTGATTATCCCGTGCAGACTTACCTCTCTAGATAAACAACTGCACATGTTTGCAATTTCGATCGAATCCGGATACCCCAGTCGGATTGCTGGATAGCATGGTTGCTTGCGCGACGGGGACTGTGGGGTCGGTTGAACCGGCTTTGAGCAACGGATTGGGCAATAACCAGGAGTGCATCGCAGCGGCTGTGGCAGTCGGTCGGGATGTGGTGACCAATCCGAGCGGATCAGCCAAGGCGGCATTCGGGGCTGGGAGCAGACCGGCCGCCTGAGCCGAATAGACCGGTCCGAGACTGGGACCGGTCGGAGCCAGACAAGTGACCGATCCATTCAACGAAGCCGCTACCGGATGTTGTGATGCAAGCAGACCGTTCGGATAGCCCATAAATTGGGCCAAATCCGGTACTGGTGAATAAAGGGAACCGGACGGAGTCGCATTGTTCATTGCAGCAACGGCAGCGGCTAACTGTTGTTGCTGTTGTTGCTGCTGCTGTTGCTGTTGTTGTTGTTGTTGTTGCTGATGTTGTTGTTGAGTTTGACGAAAGTAATCCGCTCCGTAGACCGTACAGCCGTATAAACTGACGTGTGAAATCAAGCGAGAATATGGCGTGAATAAATCAATAAGTATTACCCAATCAAAAATGAAAAATAACTGTCGCTATGTGTTTTGTATGCGAGTTGAGTGAAGTACAACGCAGCTGTATTCTGTGCTGACGTACAGGGATGATAACCGAACCGAATAGACTCATCGCATTCCAGTTGTGTTTGTGTTGACAAATTTAACCCAGCCACCCCCACCCCATCCCTCTCATTTCCCTAACGGATCAAATGCAGTTAAGCGGTCTGCCTTTGCATTGGTCGTGGGTCTGGAAACTTTTGCATTGTTGTTGTTGTTGTTGTTGTTGTAGTGTTGTAGTGTTGTTGTTGTTGTTGTGTTGTAGTGTTGTTGTTGTTGTTGTTGTTGTTGTTGTTGTTGTTGTTGTTGTTGTTGTTGTTGTTGTTGTTCAAGTGGTTGATCCAGCGACATGTCACCAAAGAGACTGGTAGCAACGATCTAGCTGTACAACACAGCATAACACTAGAATACTCGTGTACGGTTAGTTTGAACTAACATTGCTTCAGAAATTAAGCATGGACACTGGTACGCTCTCCCTCTCGCTGTAGTTCATCAAAAATATTATTTGCGCAGCGTATCAAATCGTACAGTTTTTTTTTAAGAG